TGAAGTGGTCCGTGAACCCGGTCATCACGTCGGTGCAGAACCACCAGGTGGCAGTCTGGGACATTCCCTTCCCGGCGGTCACATTCTGCAACCAGAACAAGTACCAGTACTCCAAGCTCTTCGAACTTGCATCGAAGTGAGTGGGCTTGAGGCGTGGCTGTCATGACAAACGGCATGTCCATGGAATACGTGCTTTGTATGAAGGAAGCCGAATCGAGACGAGGTGATAAGACGCTACGGTACGTTTCTGGAGTCGGCTTTCTCCGCCGACGAAATCCTGGACTTCGCGGACTACGACGGATCCGCTTCGGACTACGACTACGACGACGTGAAGGCACCCCTCAACGACAAGGAGATCGCGGAGCTCATCACGAACGTGAGTCCCCGGGGCGTTCGCCGTCCGCGATCGCGGGCGATCGGGTGGTGCCGACGTTCGCGTCGCGGCGACGTCATTTTGTTTCCTCTGAATTTTTCCGCGTTTCTCGCGAGGACTCGAATCGCGCTCGTGACGTGGAATTGACAACACGATGAGACGACGATTGGCTGCCTCGTTAGCGAAAAAAAGAGGGAAATGCGGAATTAAGACGATTCGGTCGATTCCCGTGCATTCGGTCGGTCTTCGCCAGATGTCTCTCGAGAGAAGAAACGAGTAATCGCAACAGTTATTAGCCTTTTCGTGGGGTCTTCTGCATGTCGCCTGGCAGAGGCAACCTACCTGGTGGAAGGCGTTGCACCGGGGAGATGATTACGTTTCCGCCCGACAAGGTCGACAATTCTCGCTGACGACCCAGTGAGGCAACGACCCGAAATGGGAGACAGGAACGACTCGAGGCCAGTGCCACCGTTTCGTCGATGGGATGCGGGGGAGGCGGGGCAGGGGGGGCAAGAGGGCACTGGGTATGACGTCACATGACGCCATCGATGACGCATAACGTCACCGTATCGTTATCGTTCACACTCGACTAACGTCCGATGACGCACTTGAAAATATCCAATAGATCATCGATACGCTGCGTTCTCCCGGGGCTCCTCCGTCCTGGCCGGGGC